TGTATATGTTTTAATTCCTACTAAATTGGTGATGTAAATAAAAATTATATACGTGTATCTTTTTTCGACTTAAAGACGATTAGTGTATTTTTCTTTGTTCTTTTAGAAATTGCAATAAATTAATAACGATTTTTGTATTTTTAACGCGTTCGATACTCGTGTCAGGCACGCGAGCATTCATATCCCGATTCATACAATGTGAAAGAGACTTCTCATGCGCACGCAGATGCGTGCTCCGTTCCGTACGCGGCTTCCCACGAGCGTGAAGAAACAAATAATCACGAGGCCCGAGTAACCTTTACCGAAGTGCTCGGCAAATATTTAGACGGCAGCACTTTTCCATTGCGGCTGATGTAACAGATTGAAATATTTGTGGCCGCAGCTTTGCGGTTCGAATAAACGTAACGTCTCGCGGTAACATTGGCAGATAACCGCGAACATCAGTGCCGTAAACAATGCAACAATGTTGCAATGATGAAAGCCTTTACGGGCAGATGGTGTTTAATTGCATTGGCATACAGTCAATACAAATCGAGCGCAAGGTTTTCCAGAACTTTATCTCACTTTAACCTCAATAATTGATCTTACAAAGTGAAATTGGCATTCTCTCTTAACTTGGGAAGAATTCGGGAGAAGGCATTATTATTTACCGCAGCTTTTCAACATTCGCTATTAAACATTTCGATAATCGTAATTTATATTTAGATATCTGATCAAAATCAACAATTTATCGTAAAGGTAAAAGCCATTTTGCATTTATTCTAGTGCCGGGGCATATTTCTCCTGCTGAATTTCTCAAGAGGAATATGACCGTAACGATCTTCAATACAAATAGTCGCCTTCGCAATTCCCTTGGAAAGTCTGAAGAAAACGATACGTACGTCGAATTCAGCTCGTACCGCCAATTATCTCGCACAGCAACGTGAAAAGATATATAGATAAAGAGAGATGCCGCTTTCAACGAAATATTCCCGCGTCTGAGGCGGAACGATCGATCAATCGATCGCCCGAGGCGCGTTACAGACTTGGGAGAAAAAAATATATACGGCAAATCGATAAACATGCGGAATAAATCGGCGACATCTCCGAAGGTGTAGAAGGAAAATTACGGGCCGTACACCACTATATCATTTCATTTCCATTTTGCCTGAGGAAATTCAAAAAAACATTGTGGGAGGGAGGGGGAGGATCTCGTATCTCACCGTCATTATTGGCCATCGTCGTCGTCACTACTTTGGGAAAAGGGAAGAGAGTTCACTGAGGTCAGGGTCCGATGCATCATATTACCGCACTTCCAGTTTTCTAAGCACAAACGATGAATTGCGTACTCCGTTCCTTATTATTATCTGTCTAACGTTCTCTGGATCTAACGTTCTCTCAACTATGATAAATCGCGCACGTGCGCAGTATGGTTAAGAAAGATACAAAATCGATAGACTAATCAATATCTGGCTAAAAGCGCTTTGAAGAAACATGTGGAAGCAATTGGTTCAATTTTTATGCATACGATATATTAGTAAATGTTTATGTAAATATAAGCTTTTCTTTTTTTATTAATAAATAAAATTGATTTTTCTGCTGTAAAAAAAATTACTCTCTTTTATTATATTTGTTTGATTTTTGATTTGTTTGAATTTCTATTAATGCAGTTAATAAAATAAAATGTAAATAATAAAATGGAACAAAGAATATAATTTTTTAAATTGAAACTAACAATTAGGCTTTTGCAAATTACTTACAAATATCGTAAGCGAATTGTTCCTTCGTCAGGGAAGGGCAAAATTGAGGAAATTATTTAAAGAATTCGATGAAAAAGTTAAGACACCGTCATCTATAGAAAATCTCAAATTTTTTTGCTGATAACTATCTGGTGCTTGACTTAGAAATGATATATCTATGAATTTCTGTTATTGAAAACAGAATTCGGCGCCGCACACGTTGTCCTTTGCATTATGCCACATACAAAGCTAATAGGCCGGGAGGTCTAGAGCGACCAACTCGTTTACATCTTTCTATTGCCAACTATTGAAAAAGCCACTTGACTTCCCGCTGGCTTGTGTAAACGCGGCATGGATCGCACAAGTTGCGGTAGACAGATGAAAGAAGGTTGCAGGCGAGTTAGAAGGACGATAAATGAGACAGATGGGGGAGAGAGAGTCCGAGGAGCATACCGGAGAGGAAGTGCTGAAGAGGGTTTCGCGTGTTACGTGTTTGTCACTCGATGCCAACGAGAGAGAGAGAGAGAGAGATGCGACCTTTCCTCTAACTCACCGCTTCCGACAACTGGCATTCGTTCTTCGAATTAGCTGCGACAAAGACCGTTGCACTCGGTACAATGAATGAGTTCAGAAAGAATGAGATACAGAAGACCGTTGGGTAAAAGAAAGGCGCTCGCCACTCGTGTTATTCCCTTTCATAGAAAAGGTTCACCGAAAATTTTGCAAGAAATGATAAACTAATTTCTTGATTTTCAAAATGATTCCAAGTTATGGTGGTAAAAAACTATTAGATCTATACAGTAAAATTTTCAACTTTAAGACACTTTCAATTAAAGTAAATTAATATTAAAATGTAAAATAAATATTAAAACGTAAATTAATGTAAAATAATATTAAAATTTAGTAGATTTGTAGAATTATCTGGACCATCTGGAATGCTTGTCTCGGTGAATTCCTGATCAGCGGGGAGCGAGTTCCTCTACATAACTTGGAGACTTAAGAATATCATTCTAACAACAAAAAGGCCGATAAAATAAGATAAATGTTATAGAAAGAAAAAAAATAAAAAAAATTCCTTTCGAAGAGCACAAATGACTCATACAAAAAAAATGCGATTAAAATATACATTTTTGTTGTATCACTTTTATCTCATTTATTTAAGCCTACATATTGAATTAAGATTTTATCGAATCTCAACCACATTCATGTATGTTTCTCGAATTTACGTGTACTCAATGAACGCCATATCCATAGAATTTGAACGATACGCAAATACGAGTATGTATCACATATTCGTCAATTGACACGTAATAATTATAACTGCAATTGGAGCGGAAAAACTCAAAGCGACACTCGAATGAGAAAAAAGATAGTATGATACTATACAATTAACTCCTTTCTGGAACATTTTGTGTATCGCTTAAATTATAGAAAATTAATAATCTTTCAAGGAGAAACGATCAATGATCAGTGGCAGGAAGTAATTTTTCTGGTAATTTTCTTGCTCCGACACGAAAAACACGCGGTTTCTCATAACGTCGTCGTTTAAACGAAACTTTTAAAATTTCCGACGCGCAATAACGCATTACTACGATTCAACGTCCTCTCGGGGAGAGGGGGGGAGAAAGGGGGGGTAAACGATGCAATTTAAGAAGGCCTCGTAAATAAACGATCGTCGCGGATCATGCAAAAAGACACGCGTCTCCGACGGGGGGGTCTTCGCCTATCGGGGTCTTTAAACGCCATTAAATTCCGAGAGAGAGCGCGAACGGAGCGAGCGGCCCTTTGGTCTCTCTTCGGTCTCTCTCTTCGGTCCAAGCCGGATTACGTGGAAACTCGCCTGCGGCTTCGCGCGCGATCGACCTTCCCGGAAGAAACTAGCCGTGGCCCGACGTAGACAGGGCCTCGGCTTCCTTGCGATCTCCGCATGGGAACACGTCGGCAAGAGAGCCGTGCCGCGCCGCGCGCGATTATGGATAGGATTCTTTTGTGCCCCCGGACATGCGTCCGCAATATGCGCGCCGCCGCGCCGGCCGATCCAGATAGGTGGCTTTTTAAATGCGCGCGTTTCTCGTCCCGTACGCGCGCGCACGCAGAAAACTGGTCCCGAATGAAGATGCATATTGTATGGGGCGCGTAGATGCGG